GACCATTGAAGGTGTTCCTAATGCAGTCTTCTCCCAAGGACTTCCTAAAAATAGGTTCTTCGAAGAGGCAAAACGATTCTTCTGTCCTATGTGTGAGAAATCCATGGCAGACGAATTTATGTCCATCAGCAAGTTCTTCAGTAATGGTTTCGCCTTGGTAGTAGATCTAAGGTCAACACAGGATGACACCACTGGAGGAGGTAGAAAGATTGTTAACACGCAGTCTGGAGTACTTATGGAAATTAATAAGAGAGCCACAACAGCAGACGTTCAGTGCAACATTTTTATTGTATCAGATGCTCTACTTAACTTTGCTAATAGGGATCTATCAAGTATTCACTACTAGCTGCGCTGCGTGGTTTGTACTAACGGTAAAGCATAGAGATGAATCTAGAGCCACCATTCAACATGCTCATAGTAGGAATGACAGGAAGTGGTAAGACTCAGTTCTTACTAAATATGTTAGAAACGGAATACAATAAAGTTTTTGATTACATTGTTATTATATGTCCAACAATAGAATGGAATATGACTTACATTAATTGGACTCATATTAGTGATCACGGAGTCATACAAATTCCATGTTCGCAAGAAATGATCAATTTAGTTCTGAAGGCAGTGTCCACCATATTTCGTGGAACTCAAACTCTCATTATAGTGGACGATTGTGCAGCAAGTCAAGATGTAAAGAAAAGAGTCTCAGAACTGGTGCGCCTAGCTTTCTCCGCAAGACATTACAACTTATCTGTTATTGTAATTACTCAACAACTGTCATCAGTAGCGAAACCATTCAGGGAGAACATTTCCAGGTTAGTTACATTCTACAACCCTAGTCGCAGGGATATGAAGGTCATAACAGATGATTACCTAAGTGGTGTTCCTCAGGAGACAATTACAGAGATTACAAAAATACTGAAAGATGAGAAGTTCACCGCACTGGATATACTACTTATACACCCTTACACATACACTATCAAACAAAACATCACGTAGAATATAAAAGATGGGATCTGAATCTGATGAAGAAATATCTGCAGCTGTGAGGGAAGTAGAAGAGGCCGCAAAGGCACCGCAAAAGAAAGCTAAGTCTACCGCAAGAAAAACCGCAGAAAAGTCGCAAACCGAAAGTAAAAGAGACAAGCTTATAGAGCTATCCAGGGATGGTGTAATAGAGAAGTCCGCAAGTTTTATAAGAAAGTCCAACAAGGATGTTGTGGATAGACTATATCATGAGTATGAAAGTCAAAGGATGTCATGCGCAAGTGACTTCTTATCAACTCTTATTATCTCAAAGTTTGCTTCTGTATTAGGAAGTTTTGGTGCAGTGGAATCATCAGATAAATTATCTGAAGAGCTGCTTGGTGACAAGCTCTTAAAGGATGACGTATCATATCTAACAAGAACAATCTCACCAAACATTCCATTCATAGGATTAATATCAGGTGGTTGCACAACCACAAAGCACATCGTCGCTCATAAGTGGAATAAGAAGGAGGAGGTATCCGAGGAAGCTAAACATATCCTATTACATAGCGAAGAGGAAGAAGAATGCCACAACTCGGAGAACCCTACGACGACTGGGGGAACGCCTGGGATGGAACAGAATTCGAAGCCATAATCGATGAATTAATTGAGAAGACTGATACAAACAGGGAAAAGTTAGATAAGATTCAGGAGACGCTGGACTCATTGGAGATCGTACTCAGAAAGAATCAGCTGGTGATAGGGTTTATAGAGAAGGACCTACATAATCTTAAGGATAAAGTCATAGGACCACTTCAACATGAATACGAGGCATTTAGGGATGACACAGTTAAAACAGTTGTAAAGATATACAAGAAACTAAATGAGATGTAATATTTTATTTGCTATTGGGTATATACGGTATGCAGCTGGGTGGGCTAGAGGGAATGCTGCAACTAATTAAATCGGGTAATTCTCATTAATTCGAAATTAAATAACCATAAAAATTTTTACATATATAGTATAGAGAAAGATGGAGAAACTATTCAGGAACCGAGATCTTAACGTTAGTGTGAGAACTGTTGAAAGTAATGGGGACGTATTATTTTACGCAAAAGATGTGGCGGAATCACTTGGGTACTCAAATACAAAGAAGGCCATTCAGGTTAATGTATGGAAGAAAAATAAGGTAACACTTAGGGAATTCAAGGATGGGACCCTTAAGGGTCCCATCAATATTCGCCATCCAAACTATGTTTTCCTAAGGGAACAGGGTTTGTACCAACTAATATTCAAATCCAGACTTCCAGTAGCAGAGGCCTTTCAAGACTGGGTGGTAACGGACGTCATTCCATCTATCCGTAAAACTGGATTTTATAGACTACCAGAACCCGAGCCACTATACTGCAATCAGATGAGACTAATTAATGAGACGGACCTGCACTATGCAGTTGTAGAATATCTTAAAGACTATCACCCGAAAGCTTTAATTATACCCGGACTGGGAGAGTACCAAAATACGTCACAGAAGAGATGCGACGCCTGGAACAAGGGATATCTAGGTGGGCAACCTGATCTCACAATAGTTACTCCAAGTAATGGTTTCAATGGATTTGCAATAGAACTCAAGACCCCAAAGGGCACAGGTGAAGTTAGAGATAATCAGGTAGCATGGATAAGAGAGTTAGGTAAAAATGGTTTCCGGACACTAATATCCAGCAACTACACAGAGATAGTACTATTCATAGACGAGTACTTTAGAGTTGACAGCACAAGGATGCTCACATATGAAATAGAAAATCTTAAGATAAAGTGTAAGACGTTGGAGTCTAGTAAGTGTAAGGAAGTTGTAATTAAAAGAATTGGTTACACACCTGGTAAGTACTAGCTGCGCTAGCAGCGTCTACGGATGTAGTCGGTACTAGAGTGCAAACGGGAAGCGAAGGAAATAAACTTAGAAAATGCTCGGCAAAATTTGTTGGGCATTTTTTAAGCAATCCCATCATACTGCTAAGTAAATTTGATACATCTCACCAGTAGATCTAAGTTATCTCACCAGTTACCTTGCAAGTAGATTTAAGTTATCTTGCAAGTAGATTTAAGATATCTTGCAAGTAGACTTAAGTTATCTCACAAGTAGATTTAAGTTATCTCACAAGATGAAACCCAGTTAAACCTAAGGTATCTTACAAGTAGAATGGAAGATAAAACTGAGCAAACGCAAGTAGTTACAAGTGAAAGGAAGAAAGACCCTAAAAGAGTAGCTGCAGGAAAACGCTTAGCTGCAATCAGTAGAATAGCAAAGGAGAGGAAAAAGAAACTTGCAGAACCAGAGGAGTCATCAAGCAACAACATGATCGCATATGTGGGAGTGGTCATTGCACTGATATCCCTTGCTCTAGCATTTAATCAGCATCAGAGGGAAACAGAGAAACCAGAACCTAAGTACATCCCTAAAACTGTAGAAGTAACCAGGAAAGCTGATGCGCCCAAGTTAGATTCACTTGAATGATACGTTAAACATAATATATATTATAGCAAGATGAGTAAAGAATCAAAGATGACCGCGGAAGTGTACAACGCAGTGTTACTTACAGCAGGAGCAGTCGGTATATCAATGGCATCGAAAAAACTATTGAAAGAACCATTAGGCACCCCAGAGAATGTAAAAGGAATGGTAAAGCTAGCTGTCTCAGTTAGTCTTTCATCTCTACTAGTCTCTTACCTGAAAGAAAAGAAGTATATACCAGATGATCCATTCAAACCTAAGTAAGACTATACAATGGCGGGAGCAGTAGCAGGAGGACTCTTTAACGCATTTGCATTTGCTGGAGCAGGATTCTTATTTAAAATGTTTGACAAGAACGGATATGCTGAGGAGGCTCATAGACACAACATTGCAATGGAGAACCTAACAGCTGAAAGAGAGAAGTACCTTGAAGAGGTCACTGATAGAAGAAACAGAATTGCTCAACTAAAGTCAGAACTAGCTGAGGCAGATAAGGATATTAATTCAACTAATAAGTCACTGGAACTCGTTAGAAGAATCAATGAGTTAACACGTAAGGCTATGCCAAGAAAGCCACAGTTAAGTAATCACTACAAACCTAGCTCAGAGATGGCAGAATATATGGCAATATTTGGTTTAATTACAGGTGGGGTGGTTGGAGGGGTGGCTTACCTAATGATATAATACTGTAAATAATATGGTAAAAAATTTTTACATATATAGTATAGAGGAATGGAATGGTTAGAGATGGTAACACCTGACGAAATGGCACGGGTAGGTAGGAAGGCAAATACACTGGAAGAGTTAGAGGCTACCGTGAGAAAGTACGTGGAGAGTAGAATAAAAACAAAACATACATATGATCCAGTATGTAGTGAATGTGGTAGTAAGTCTATTGTAATAATAGATGGAGCAGATGTATGCACACAATGTGGTACAAGTGACAGGAATGGCTTTACATACTATGTTAGTTACAACCACAACAAGGACGACTACCTGAAAAAGAAGTCTTGTCATAATAGAGTCCGTTGGTTTGAGAGACACTTATTCGAGCATGTTGCTTCTGGGGATAGGGATACCATACGGGAGCAGTTTAGAAGCATTGTAAGATGTATACAAAGACTTAGACTGCAACGGGGGCGCAACATAGTTAGATATAAGTTTTACCTACTGAGGATAGCCAGCATGAACAACATCACGCTGAGAAACCCTCCTGAGGACATTAAGACCAAAAGAATTGTGGACATCCTTGAGAATAGGTTATATGGTAGAGTCTTCCCCGAGTTGGGATGGAAACCTATAAATTGTAAATATTATAATAACTGGAAATTTAGACATAAATAAAATATTAATTATTGGATTAAATAAAATATTAATTATAAAATTAAATAAAATATTAAATTAAATAAAATATTAAATTAAATAAAAATAAATAATTAAATAAAAATAAATAATTAAATACAAAATTAAATAGGCCTTAAAATAGGCCTATTTTTTTTACCTATAGTATATAGAGAAAGAGTGAAAAATGGCGACAAACTTTGACATGAACAACATGACCGTTGAACAACTTATGGCACTTAGTGAGATAGTTGATGACAGCGACATTAGTGATTTCGAAGATGAAGTGGAGAAGATAACGAAGGATGAATTCTATCGAGTTGCACCTAAGGATAAGGGTAAAGATCCCTTTGAAGGAGAAAGACAGTTCATAGATGAAGGAGATCGTTCTACTGACCCAAGAAGAGCACGAAGACGACCATTGAATGAGAAGGGTGAGAGAGGAATTATGCCGACGTGGAAATATTCCGAGAGACAGAAGGCAAAGGCTTTGCTGGTTGAGGAGGCATATCAAAGTCTACTCAGTCAGGGAGTTGAGGGTTTACCACCAACAATGGGAGGTAGATGGAGAACTGATGATCCTCAAGTTAATGCAGAAATGAAGAGGCTAGAGAATATTAGGAATCCAAAACGTCCTAGAGGAAGACCACCAAAGGCTAAATCTGATGCCAAGGTTGCGATCCCAAAGAAACGTGGAAGACCAGCAAAGGCTAAGGTTGACACCAAAGTAGTAATTCCAAAGAAACGTGGAAGACCAGCAAAGGTTAAGTCTGAGGCTGAGGTTGCGACCCCAAAGAAACGTGGAAGACCACCAAAGGTCAAAAGGCAAAGTGTCGCGGAGAGGTTTATGAGTCAGAATAAAATAAAACTATCGATTCCTGCAGATAGCGTAATAACTCAGGTGGGACCTAATAAGTACACGGTGACTGTGGATCTAAGCAAGAGACCAACAAGGAAAGCTCCTGAGGTGCCGAAAGGTGTAGCTCCATGGAGGCCTGTTCCTAAGCCAAGGACAGTGTTCCCTAAAGAAAGACCTGTTCCTAAGCCAAGGACAGTGTTCCCTAAAGAAAGACCTGTTCCTAAGCCTAGAACTAAAAAGCCAGTGCCTCCTCCAAAGTTAAGAAAGCCTGTGAAGGTAATGAAGGAAGTTGAGGAACAGCCTGCTGTGGTCACACCAAAGGAACATGAGATTGATCCATTTGGAACGTATCTTGAGAAGCCTTCTTATAGAAAGATAGAAACTGCCGCAAATGGTGCAGCGGTGACTTACTCAATAACTCCAAACTTTATGGATCCCTTGGACCAGATGACAGCGAGTAGGCAGGTTGTGAGGGGAATTCTAGTTAACGAGTTGAAGAGAATGGGAGGTCTAAAATATACGGAGACAATTAAGGTGAGAATGTCCAAGGAAATCGGAAATGATAAAACAAAGAAGGATTCAGTGTACTTTAAGTCAAAAACTGGAACTGCAACTAACTTTGAGGATATTGAAAGCACTGCAGCTCAGAACCAACTGACTATCTTATCCAGAATTGAAACTTTCCAGAACTTAGGTTCAAACTGGATTATTCTGAACATTGAAAGCCACTACGTTAATATTGCGATGTACAAACCTCTCAAGGGTAGTTCATATATGAAATTACCCGCAGACATTAGTAATCCAAAATGCGGCTTAATTAATATGCAAAACATGGATGAGAAATGCTTTATGTGGAGTCATGTGAGACATTTGAGGCCAAAGGCTAGGAGGGCAACTACCATAACAAAGCAAGATAGGGAGTTCGCGGAGAACTTAGACTATGAGGGTATTGACTTCCCTGTAAAGATAAGCGATATTGATAAAATTGAGAGAAAGAACTCAATAAGCATATCAGTGTTCGGTTATAAGGGCAAAAAGCAGTTCTACCCAATTAGGAACTCAAAGACTAAATATGATGAACATATGGAGTTGCTGCTGTTAGGTGACAACAACGGTGGTAATCACTATGTCCTAATAAAGGATGTAAATAGAATGCTCTTCAGTGTCAGCGGTAACTCAAACAAGAAGCACTTCTGCTTATATTGCCTTCATAGTTGCACTAGTGAGGAATCACTAAAGAAACATGTTGAAACATGTATAAGTGTAAACGGAACTCAAGCCACTAAGCTTCCCAATGCTGGTTCAAAAATAAAGTTCGGTCATTATAGAAATTCAATGCCTGCTCCATTTGTAATCTATGCTGACTTTGAATCTATACTCGTTCCTGAAGAAAGAAAAGTGGAATCTGAGGGCACTGAGGAGAAAAGTACAACAGAGCTTTACCAGACACATAAAGCTTGTAGTTTTGGGTTGAAGACAGTGTGTCACTATGATGATCAGTACTCAGGTGAATATACGAGCTATGTTGGTGCAGACGCTACAGAGGTTTTCTTAAAGACAGTTCTGAAGGAATCTATCAGATGCCGGGAAATGGTGAACAAGATCTTCAAGAAAAAGATGGTAATTACTCCAGAACAAGAAGCCGAGTTCTGGATGACAAGAAACTGCTCCATCTGTGGTAATGACTTGGGAGATGACAGAGTGAGAGACCACGATCATGTAACTGGACTGTTCCGTGGAGCTGCTCATAATATGTGTAATTTGAAATATAGAATTACATGGAAACTTCCAGTGGTCTTCCATAATCTAAGAGGTTATGATAGTCATTTAATAATGCAGGAGATTGGCAAGTTTAAGATGAACATTAACGTTGTCCAAATAACATGGAGAAATACATTTCCTTCTCGTTAGGTAAAAGTCTTGTGTTTATTGATTCAATTCAATTCATGGCTTCTTCTCTAGAGGCACTTGTGAATAACCTTTCACCTGAAGACTTCAAGATAGTCGGTAAGAGGTGGCAAGGAGAGGACTTCGATCTTGTAAGACAGAAAGGAATATTTCCCTATGAATACTTAGATGACATCAGCAAACTAGACTCTGAGGGGCTTCCAAGTAAAGACAAGTTCTATTCATCTCTGTATGAATCTGAAGTGAAAGATGAAGATTACGAAAGAGCTCAAAAAGTTTGGGATCACTTTGGAATGAAAACAATGAGAGACTACCATGATCTTTATCTTGAGACTGACGTTCTTCTGCTAGCGGATGTCTTTGAGAATTTCAGGAAGACCTGCCTGGAGAATTACAAGCTTGACCCTGCTCATTACATCTCAGCACCCAGTCTAAGTTGGGACGCGTTCTTAAAACAGTCAGGTGAGGAAATAGAATTGGTAAGTGATATGGACATGTTCCAGTTCTTTGAGAAGGGAATGAGAGGTGGGGTAAGTCATATTGCTCATAGACACTCCACGGCGAATAATAAGTACATGGAAACGTATGACGAAGAGGCTGAAAACAAGTTCCTTATGTACCTCGACGCGAACAATTTATATGGCTGGGCGATGTCTCAACCTCTTCCAAATGGTGAGTTTGAGTGGATCGAGGAAGTTGACAAAATAAATATTGATGACTATTTGGGAGACAGTGGAAGAGGAATGGTTCTTGAAGTTGATATGGAATATCCTGCAGAACTTCATGATGAACATAATGGATATCCTCTAGCTCCAGAAAGTAAGGAAATTGATGTGTCAATGTTATCAGACTATGCAAAGGATATTGCTGTTAAATTCCAGCTGAAGATTGGAGGTGTAAGAAAATTAGTGAACTCCTTAGGTCCCAGGAAGAATTACGTTCTACATGTTAGGAATCTGAAACTGTATATGGAACTCGGAATGAAACTTACGAAAATCCACAGAGCTGTCTCCTTCAAGCAGTCAACTTGGCTGAAACAGTACATTGACTTTAATACTCAAAAACGATCAGCTGCTAAGAATGCGTTTGAGAAGAACTTCTTCAAGCTCATGAATAATTCCATTTATGGAAAGACTATGGAGAACCTAAGGAAAAGAGTTGATGTGAAGCTGGTGTCGTCGGAAAACGATCTCCTTAAACTGACAGCGTCTCCGTGCTTCCAGTCACATAGGATTATGAATGAGAGCCTGATCGTGGTAAAGAGAATGAAGGAAGTCCTGACTCTGAATAAGCCGTGCTACGTGGGAATGAGTATCTTAGATTTGTCTAAGACTCTAATGTACGACTTCCATTACAACACGATCAAAAAGGAGTACGGTGACAAGTCGAAGCTCCTTTTCACAGACACTGACAGTCTAATGTATGAGATCAAGACTGATGACGTGTACGAGGACTTCAAGAGGATCGGTGAAGAGAAAGATTGTTGGGACAACTCAGATTATCCTAAAGATTCTCCGTATTACTCAGCTCATAACAAGAAGGTAATTGGAAAGTTTAAGGACGAAGCTGAGGGAGTGCCGGTGATTGAATTCGTAGGGTTAAGGTCAAAGATGTACTCTTACGTGAAGGAGAGTGGTGGAGGTGGAATGACAGCTAAAGGTGTGAAAAAGTACGTGATCAGAAACAAACTCACTCACGAAAACTTTAAGAACGTGATTAAGACCAAAGGTAGGATGAGACATAAGATGAACACAATCCGAAGCATCAAGCATAAGATTGGAACCTACCAGCTAAAGAAAATTACACTCAGCTGTTTCGATGACAAAAGATACCTACTTGAAGATGGTGTTACAAGTTACGCGTACGGACACCACTCAATAGGAGATCTAAAGGCTGAGGTGGTGATTGAAGAAAAAGTGGAACCGAGCTGTGTACTAGAAAGGGTTAAACCTCAGAGTGAATACTACAAACTCGAGGAAGCAGTAGAATTCTACGAAAGCCCCTTCTGGGAAGACTCAGCGTTAGTTGAAGAAAAACCTATTCCTAGACCAGAATATAAAGTAGTGATTCCACGAAGAAGATCAAAGTTCAAAAAACTATTACCGTTAAGGATACTCGTAACTGATGAGAATCACCTAAGGAAAAACTACGACATACTACCAAAAGACGAAAAGGAAACTCTGAAAGCAGTGCTGCAAGAGAAGCTCGAATCGTTAGGTGTCGCTGTGGCTATAACTTCTGGAAGTAAAAAGCTTACACAAATTGGATACTAGAGAATTTAATAGGAATAAAATAAATTATCTAAAAGCAAAATAAAAGTGGTCTAGAAAAATGATAGTAAAAAAAGACCAGATAAAATGGTCTAGAAAAATGAGGTAAAAAAGACCAGAAAAAATGGTCTAGAAAAATATGAGCCCGCGTTGGTTGGGGAAAAATATGGAAACCGCTGACCGGAAGCTGGGTGAGATCGCGGGCCGAAAAAGTGGTCTAGAACCCTCATTCCCTATACTACTAAACTGAACAGATATACAATAAAGAAATACAGTGTGCTTATAAATATAAAAACACAGCTTTTTATCTATTTAAAACCAATGTTCAGTCTCAATTCACACTGTTAACCTTTTTGGCTCTGTCAGTATTTAACAGCTGGGTGATCACTGCCTTCACTTTGGTTTCATCTACTTGTGTTCCCTGTATCAGAGGTGGAAAAAGTATGGGACCATTGGTTCCAGAAAATCTTGAGTTCTCAGAAAATATTTCCCCAAGAAAGAAAAAAAAGATAGTTTAATTTTTAAGTAAAATTTAAGAAATTCAGAAGAAAAATTCTAATCAATAGAAAAAATGTTACCTGTACTATAGGTATGACTTCAGAAAAGCAATTATTAGTGCATCCATCTTAATAGTGCAATAGTGTGTAAATATATAGACTGTAGTATAATGTAACAACTATTGTATGGCAAATACATTTTTTAGCCAATCTGGAACAGCTAATTTTCACAATTTTCTGGGGAGCATGGATCCCCCTGGTAGTGCTCCCCAGTACTGCCTTTTTTAGCATCTTTATTCACTGTAGGATCAGACCCTTCATCCACAAAATAGAGAAATGACAATCTTTCAAAGTGTCCAATATTGAACTTTAAAAGGTCATTGTAAGGCCAAGTAAAAAAAAACTTATGTTTCTTGTCCGGATTTCTGCCAAAAAGCAGGGAAGCGGGGCTTTTCTTTTTTTCTTAGCCAAAGTAATAAGCTTTCATACAATTTAGTAAGAAAAATACACGCAATATTAAAAACGTGAATTATAAAAGGCTTTTAAAGTAACTTTTTTAATGTCTCGTAAAATAAATTTTGTTTAAATGAATATGCAGCCAAGCACGGCGAAGCATGACAAGCATGCTGTGAGAAGCTGTGAGTTTGTGGCGATTTGTCGCCATTGAATTTGGTCAGCAGATAGGATTTTGAATGAGCTCGCAGTAGTTCCAGATTAATACTTCATGTTAGCTTCAAGTTATCAAAAACAAAGTTCAAAAACATGAAGCAAAATTTGTAGAGGAAAACCAGCAAAAAAAAAAGAGGAAGCGGCCAAGAAAAAGAAAGCGGGCGGGGACGAGAAACATAAGTTTTTTTTTACTTGGCCTAATTCTTCTGGTCTCATTCATTATTTTCATTTTCTGCTTTCTATTACATTAAATTAACACAATTTTACAGCCCTGTTATATTGCAACTGCAATAGTTGGAGTTGTATATATCTTTTCTAGCATCCTTCTGCAATATAAAGTATGAGTGTATTATTTACTGCCAGTTCAGGAGTCGTTTGCCTGCTTTACGCATTGAAACAGGAGCGCTTATATTGAGTTAACAGATATATATACCAATTTAGACTTACAAAGTGTATCAATGTATGTAGAAATTTGGCTGCATTTTATAACCTATATTATGCTACAGCAATTTATTAATACCATAGCCACATAGTGTACATATTTGCACCCAGAGTTCAAAGTGTAGTGGTCTGTGTTCCGTAGTTGATACCGAGGGGGGCGTAAAGGGGGTCTGGAAACCGCAAAACCACACAGAAAAACTTAAAATACCGTATTACCGCAATAAAATTCATAAAAAAACTGAAACAGCAATTTCACATTTCAACGATACTGTGATCAAGCATTTGGCTTGCAGTTCGATAGATCTAGAAGTTATTTCGCTTCATATGTACTCTGGAAAAAGTATACGTTGGTATACCTAAGTAAGATTTCAAATAACCATTCTTTAATAACATAACGCTATTAAGAACTGTATTTTTTTCCAAATAATCACCTATGAATTTGTACTAAAACAATTATTCACATGAGGCTCAGTTATTATCTTGAAGTTGTTATTAATTGTTAAATGTAACATATTTAATTAACCTTAATACCATGTACTTGGATCACTGGAGCAGATGGTTATTGAAGCGTACAACTCTTCCAAAATGAGATCTCGCTCCCAGTAGGAATGTCACCGAACTTCCAATCTCTCAGTGAGTTGCAGTAGTAGGTTCAGAACTATCGTCATTAACCACTTCTTCATCGCTGCTTTCGCCAAACTTGTCTACCTGGTCTTCTTCCAACTCGTGTTCTATAACTGCATGTGTGTCATGCTTATCAAAGGTTATGGATACAGGCTTCTCCGAGATTTCACACTGCCTTTGGTACATAAATTCTGGGAGTGTTCCATGCCGTGCCATGGTGGTCTCTTGGTGTACAGTCCGTTGTCTGTACAGCCCCGTAGGAGGACGCCCAGTCTCTGAGCACATCGCTGTCAGCTTGACATATGTTGGCAATCAGTAGAGGATTCATAACAGGAACCTGCGACAACAACAAAGCTTCCTCTGGTTTTGGATACCATGATCACCTGCTTGTGTGATAGTAGCTGTCCAACTGGTCACTCATTTCATACTTCTTTTATCACCATACCAAACAATCTGCAGTATTTTTCCATTGACATATTTGCCTGTTTCATATGTACAAATGAATGACAGTTTTCCACATCCAGTGTCATGCAGCTCAACAAATTGGTGTGCGCGCAATCATATTTTCGAAGGTTAGCACCCAATCTCTTTAGACCTGCGTCTATCATGGCAACTGATGTCCTAGCCGACACATGTCCCTGGGGTCCATTAAGAGCTGTTTCGATACTAGTGGCACCTTGAATATCCGTTGGTGTTCTCTTCAAGCATCTCTTTACATTGCCAAATGAGGCTTACAGCTTCTTGTTATGCACTGAAAACGCTTGGTAAAGGCAGCCAATTGCTTTGAGAAAGTGTGCGCATTCCTTTAACTTGCTGCAGATCTTGATAGTGTTTGTTTGAGCATCACAAACATAAACAACACTGTCGAATTCTGTGCAGATGCCCACTGGCTGTTTAAAGCAACTTTCTTTCACAGGACCATCGGTACTTCCATCTTCTTTGTCAGAGCCTGCAAAAAGACTCAATTCTTCACCATTACCACTACGTTGCTAAATAGAGGCCTTCGCCTGATTTGTGAAATAGTACGTCTGAAACAAATCTTGTAAGCATACAAGGATGATCATTATGCTAACAACTAATCTACATTCCAAAGTTTCCAAGTTGATCGCACTTATTCCTTGTGCATGAGATACAAACAAATTACCGTCACAGAGACACATACTGTTCACTTTTTGCCATGTGACACCGTATGGAACGATCTGCTGAAAATTGGTGCCTTTCAGTCTAACGCCGTCTTTTTCAATTAGGAAGGAATTTATTGATTTTTTGTTCTTTGGCTGTGTAGATCAAATCACTGTTCACACAAACCATGGCCTCAAAGGCAGGCTGCATTTCTCTGTCCCACAAGTGAATTTCGTCATTTCCCACATTGTGACTTGAATATTGACGTTGGACACTTTCCGAATATTCAGTCTTGAAGTGATCTCTGCAACAGTTCCATGAGATATGTTTGGTTTTCTTGCTAACTTCACGAGGTCGTCCTTCTTCTTTTCTTTTGAGAGCATGCAAATCGATGATTCAGTGAATTTAATTGCTTTGATGGGACTGCTGTCGGAAGTCAGGAATATTATACTTTCTGCGCAATGGATCTCTTTAGCTTTGAGGTTTTTGCCAATAGAACTGATTTTGTCTACAGGACTATGAAGACGAGCTTTGTACAGAGTAGAACATCCACATTTGGCATCATAAGACAGGAAGGCAATCCACCTGTAAGATGGTATAGCAATCTGATTGGGCATGGGTACATGCAACACTGGTTGTCTACCGAGTATTTATCCAATTCGGGAATGATACGAAACTGTTCTTAAATGATCCTTTGTCATGTTCCCTGAGCGATTTCCCAGAGTTCTTAGAAAACCTTACAAAAAGTTAATCCTCTCACCTTTGCATTTAAGCCACCATTTGGAAGAGGCAGCCTTAATCCTTTTTCCAACATGTGGACAATCGGCAAAATACACAAAAATTCCAATGCAGGGTCTATCATGCCATTTTCGAGGTTTTCGTTCAAGATCTCAAATGCATTCTTGTTTCCCATATCACAGTCGCTGCACCACACCATTACCACACATAGAACACAAATACAATTTGTTCAAGGCACAAATCACAAGCTCTTAAGGATGGAACATGGCCAATATGTCCAACTGCTTCACATTCAGCACACACAGTATTCAAATCATAGAATGCATTGCAAAAACTGGCACAATTAATTTGATGTCGATCTTCCAATATTTCTTGGCATGTTCTTCAAAATAACTCAACATGGTCTGACCAGTCTTTCCAGACTTTGTTGTGTAGTCAACAGCAATAGGCAAGGAACAACTAAAGTTATCTAAATATGTCAAAGATGAAACAATCGCCTCAGTGACAATAAGGTGGTCAGGGGATGATGTTGGATTTTTCTTAACATAGTCCAAATCAACTGGAAATACCAGGCCCACATTTTTGTTAATGCATGCATCAAATTTAATTGTAGGTTTCAGTGCTGTCCCATCATTTGCCAATGCACATGGTATAACAACGACATTTGTAGTTTCAATAAGAGGTTTGGCTCCAGAGTTCTTTAAAAGTTCAACGTGTGCTAAGGATAGTGGCTTAATAACACTCGAATCTGGAGTGTATCCTGCCTGGGATTTCAGGATGAGTGATTCCGAGAGTTTGCCAAGGTTCACCTTTTTATCCAGTTCTTTGTTTATGTGGCTGTGGCGACCATCTCCCAAATTCATCGGCCCTCAAATTGAAAAAAACTTGCTGTGCGCCTTCCACCGAGGTAGGTAATGGTATTAAAAAACTCTACCAACTCATAATCATACTCATGGAAGGGGTTGTACATTATTTCTACAACATCACTTAAATACCTGTACAGATTTTTTCTCTTATTAAATCATTCAGCTTAATGCATAATGGATCGGCCTTTTTGACATCCACATGCACAGAATAGAGGTCATCGCCATCAAGACTTCCTGTTTCATCAAGACGAGAATTTTCTGTCTGACATCCAATACATGAACAAGTTTCCACATCACTATCTGGATCATAGTCAGAGTTGCTTTCATCTTGCTCTACAGAATCATATTCCTCACATGTACTGGAGTCATAGGACCTACACGGAAAAGATGCTTGCTTTTATTACTTATTTTGATTACATTGACAAAAATTTACTAAAACACATGCAATATTCTACAATTTGTTCATTTGAAAATCAATTTCTAAATCACTTATGGACTTTATGGTACAAATGTTCGTTACACAACTAAAATTGGGTCAAAATAGCTAAAATAAATATGATTATTACATTTCAACATCAGAAATATCAATGTCCGAGTCCACTCCTGATGTTTCATCATGATGCAGTCGACGCTTTTCGCTTCATCCCTAGAAATAATTCCTTGATGTTCTTTTGCTTGCTGTTTTCGCTACTAGTATTTCATTTATCTCTGCATCTCGAGAAATGATCTACATAATTAAAGTTACAAAATATTATCATTTGGAAAATAATTCCACATACTGTGTCACAGTTTAAAGTCGGATTTCTTTTAGTTCTGTTTGCTCTTAATGCCCGCAGCAATCCCTAGTACCTTGTAGGTACCCTAGTTTAATTTGTGCTTGTCTTTTATCTTAACAGGTGGTTTGGCAATTGGTTATCTGCATAACGTATCATCTGTTAAAGAAAGTGAAAAGAAGAACTGTTATTTCGACATGAAATTACAGACTCGCAAACGTACGTATAGGGCTGTATGCTTTGATTCAGAGTTACATGATGAATTCAATACCAGATACGAATCATCATCACCTATAAAAATCGCTAATTGCCAGATGAAAGTCAACCCCAGATTGAATTTTGAGGAAATTCTGATAAACAAGAGATCAAGAACACTGGACCCAAACAAGCAAGAGATTGATTTTGATATTGATGTAGACAAACACCAACCTAAATATCAAGGAGTCTAAGCAGATATCAGCAAAATATAATCACACCATACGTGAACTCCAAAAGAGAACAGCGAGAGTAATTCTGGGCACTAGAATATGAGAAGAGAGAACTGTTACTTTGTTTAAAAACTGAATTGGTTAGCATTTGATGATGAACTCAAACTAAATACATGCTGCTTGGTTTTTAAAATCATGAATGGTTTACAGCTAATATTTCATTCAAACCCGTTATATTTACTGAACCTTATGATGTGGATTCCTAACCCTATTTCAGCCATTCTATCCTTAACTCTAACCTTGGGTCCCTGACCTTATACACCAACACTAGCTTATATATACTTGCGGTCTATAGTAAAACAAAGTTATCAAATAAATCTGTTAGATAGTATTGTATTTTTAAATAAATAACCTTGGATTGTCCTATTGATATGCATGGCTCACTAAATTGACATGGCATGTAGAAGCATCAAATTACACCTTTCTTGTATGACCATTTTACCAATTTATCAAAAATTTACCATTCTATTATGAAATATCTTTTTTAACATTGGGAATACTGATTGACTAACTGTACCTTTCATTGTAACAGCAATACAACGACCACTTTCTATACCAAATTCAACCTCTTGTTGAAACGAGCCCAGGAGTGCAAGTTGTGCCACACGAAGGACATGCCACTTCACTGACTGGAAGAAACTGACCTTAAAAATATGAGGGAACATGCCAGTTCATTGCCACTTACACAAATGAAAGGTTAACTGAAGTTCATTTTGTGCAATTATACTGTGCAAACACTAATACACTGTGTTGTACAATCAAAATTGACCTAACATGAGATTATAACCTGTGCCCAGACCTTCATTTTTCTCACAGCTGGCGGGGCAAAGACAACAACAACAATTTATTTCGCACCACCAAGTAAAATAACATTACATGATTTTTTAAAATATATAAACATGGCACAGGTCACCAGAAATAGTGAAGACTAAACCAGTCTAGTGACCTTTTATAAAATAAATGAAATAATGAGTTTTACATCATTTTGTATAATTATAAAAGTATATATTCATGAATACTTGTGGCAGCGCTAGTACATGAAAATCATATTTTCCGCAATTTTATTCTTAAAAGATGATTTGCTAAGAGTTTTATATTGATCATCAATATCATTCCATGCTTTAGGACCCTGAAATCGAAGACTGAATTTGCCATAGTTCTTATTTTGTCAATATAATATGTATTTCTAGAAGCCAATCTGGTATCATAATTATGTACTGATGTGACCTGTTTGAATATGTTATTAAATGTAGCAGGAAGATTCCCGTTATGATAATCATACATGAATAAGTGTTGTTTAGAAAAACAAGGTCAAAGAAAAATAAAGACCTGATAAAAGCACATATGTTATTAAACGTTTGTGTCCTACAACTGCCTTTATGGTTGTAACTCTGATTGGCTACTTCTAGCATGAGTATTAATGCCATATTTAATGTATTTTTTGATATTTTGGTTAGTGCTATATATAATTAAATAATTTTAGATTAAATAGTGATTGTAACTATATTTAGCTTGTTGTTAAATTATGTGAAATAATTTGACATTTCGCCTGGCACATTTTGATTGGATACCAGTACTAAAATAAAACTTTGGTGTGGGTCAAGACTTGCATCAGGCTCTGTATGTAATTACAATGCATAATAATATTGCAGGTTAATTAATAAGATTTCTAATAGTCATGCAATATTGGTTAGAAAACTAAGGGGAGTTTACATGAAAGGTAATTGGTTCAAGTTGCAGTGTAATATCCTATTACATTTCATTTTCATTTTATATGGAAATGAGCTGGCATGCTTCATGACAAGAGTCTAATTGCTTTGCATTGCCTGAGTTATTGGGCAATTCGAAAATGTTCTATAGAATCCTATAGAATATGGTATAGAATATTCTATATCCTATAGAATATTCTATAGAACCTGTGATCCTATAGAATATTCTATTGCCATATTCTATAGAACTTCCAGATCCTATAGAATATTCTATTGCACATTCATATGAAACATCCAATAGCATATTCTATAGAATATTTTCTATAATGAAATAGTATAGGATATTCTATAGAGTATATCATAGAATGTGATAAACCTATTGACTTAAGCCTAGTTTATTATTTATACTTTATAACAATATTATTGTGTCCCAAAAATTTACATGAAGGGAAAAGATCATGATTGATTTTAGAAAAATATTTCTTTCAAGACAATTTGTTCTTGAAAAAAAAATATTTTCTAATAATAACTTAACTGATTAACTTGAGATTCTTTAAATAAGATGTTTTAATATTTTCTTATATAATATTTATTATTAGTCTTAATATAAGATAATTAGATATGATTTTCTTTAGAAGCAATAGTTCGCGCATTGACTGGAAGCCTGGTGCCTAATTACGTGCAAGGGCGCGAAGCTTCATGGGATAGCGTCGTTTTAAAATTGAAATTTCAAAATACTCTTACATGTGGATTTCAAGGGAAATTTTCCCTTATATTTTTAACCCAAACGATGGAAAAGGTATTGGAAAGTTCTTAAAATGTTATTCAAATCTCACAGGTAAGAACAGTTTCATGTTTGATGCTATTTAAGCACTTTAATTCCGAAATAATGTAGTGAATATGATTGTTTATACTTGGCCATATGTCTTAAATTCCGTTGAATGTTTGAATTTGCCGCGTCGATTTGCATAAAAAACATACGAAATTTCGATTTCTAGCAAGGGAAGAATAGATAAAATATAAATTCGAACCATTGTTGTGAATTTTATACTAAATTACCCACTATTGTAACAATTTAGCAATATTTGTCTTTGGCATAATTTGGCACTTTGATAGATGCATAGACCTTTGTCAAAGTATTTGAAATAATATAATAATTAAACATATCAAAGATATATATATATATATGTTAATAACATTTTAATACTTCAATAAGGATTGAAATTACAGAAGAATTACAGCATTTAATGTGATATTTTCAGTGTATTGATCTTAAATAACCCATTAAGTTGCAATGCATGTGCCCAAAATGCACCCAACTAATCTACTATTGCATTACTAGTCTGTCCAATGCCAGACAATTTTACTCCATCTTGCAATAAGCTATTTAATTCTCTTTAATGGTCAATGAGCTTAATTTAGTTGTATACATGTATAGAATGATATATCTGTAAAGCTTCATCGGCACTAGCCGATTGAGATAAAGCCTTTATATATTTTTGTATTAAATATTGCAGCTGGGTTATAGCCCGGCCCCAAATATTGTTCTCAACAGCTGGATATTTATTTATTTATTTAACTTTGCCAAACCTTTAACAGTATATTTACAACAACATATAATATGTTTTCTATTGGCAGGGTGTATGCTACAGTTTTCATTAACCCATTGGGCCACAATGTGCCACAGCTAATAATGGGTTAAATTAACCAAAAAATCTGACAATGTCTCTAGTTAACCCATTGGGCCACAATGTGCCCCAGTGTGCCCTATTTTTTTACTTGTCTATCTCTGGGCGATTTTACTCATCAATGGGGAGGCTCTGCAGCTTGATGGGTTAACTAGTGCTTTATATGAGGAAAATGACATACTGGCCCAGCTAATTGTGGTCTAGCCAGCGTGGCCGTCTCTTTTATAAGTAGAGCCTGCCCGAAAGCCCTAGTCAAATTGATGACTCTCGGACTCTTACGTTGACAACAGTTTGATTGACATGTTACGCTAATTTATTCAAATATTTAAAAATAAATACAGTAAAAACAAACGGCATATCGCTATATTAACTCTTTTGCAGCAGGTCCATTACGCGTAGAACGTGCACGTTCTACGGATGTTTCGTTTATATCTTCGGTTCATTACACGCTATGTCGATGAAAATACCGCCATTCGATTCAGTATAAAAATATATACTAATTTATAACGACAGTTTTAGTGACTGGCTACATTGTAG